CCCTGGCCGCCGCCCTGGCCGCCCGCGGGGAAGCCGGCGGCGGCGCCGAGCTGGCCCATGGGGTTGTTGGAGGCGGCCGAGTTGGAGGCGCGGATGCGGCTGTACTGGTACGCGTCGGCCGCAATGTCGGCCACGAACTTCTGCGTCGCCAGCGCCAGCAGCCGCGCCAGCCGCTGGTCCGTCTGCGGCGGCGGCGGGAGGCCCGCGCGCGTCATGTAGTAGTTCGTCACGGCGTCGGGGATCTGGCGGGGGTGGGGAGAAGAGGCGTGACGGTCAGCGGACTGGTCCGCCGAGCGGGATAAGTTGAAACAGGGTGAGAAACCACATACTATGGGAGCATAGTCGTCCATCCGCGCCATGAAATCCTTGAGCGGTATGTCCTTGCGCGTGGCCGTCTTGGGCTCGGGCAGCGGCGCGGCCTGCGGCTCCTCCTCGGGCTGTTGCGACGGCTGCTGCTGCGTCTCGGGCTGCTGTGATTGCGGATCGCCGTTGGCCTGCGGCGCCGGCGCTGCCTGCTCGGCGCCGGCCGGGTTCTCTTGGGGCTGCGCGGTCGCCATCGTGGACTTTTTTTTCGAGGCCGTGTGTGATGGCGTTTGATGCAGAGGACCGGTCCTTTTTCGACAGAACTGAAAACGCCGCCGCGGTTGAATCGAGGCGGTTGCGCGACGCTGCGGCAGGCGATTGCAATGATGCATTACACCCACCGGAATGTGGGGCTTCCTGTGTCACGTGAAAGTCACCCCTGACTTCACATAGCAGACATTTACGGCAGGTATATGCTACAGCAACAAAAATGGTCATGTTCAAATCATCGCAACCCTATAGTAACATATCCAGCAAGAGCAAATCGAGAGATGGACCAAAATACATATTCGCCTCGTCAAATAATCCAGCTTGTTCTTAACGCCTCCTCGACCGGGTGCTACTGCTCTGTTTCTGCGTCTCGAACGGGTCGTCATCATCGTCATCCCCCGAGATCTCGTCCGCACTGAGCTCGAGAGCCTTTTGCGCCGACCTTGTCGGACGTTTCTGCGTGGCCGGGCGCTGCGACTGTGAGAAGTTGAGTGTGGCCTGCCTCGTTGCACCTGTCGTCCGCGTCGAGGCGCGTGACGCTGGCGGGGCGGCAGCCGGCGCTGCCCTCTTGGGGGCAGCACGCTTCGGTGCGGGCTTGGGTGGCGGCGGTGGGATCTCCTCAAAACCGTCGTCATCGTCATCGTCATCATCATCCACCACATCCAGGGCCATGGCGTCATCCTGCTCCTCAACAACCTCGTCGTCGCTGTCTTGAAACGGGTTGGGCCTCCGTCCACCGCGCTTGGCCGCCGGTTTTGCTGCCGCCGCTGCCTTCTTACCACGCGCCGCGGCTTTGGGAGCTGCTGCTGCTGCTGCTGCCGCTGCACCGCGAGTTGCCCTGGTTGGCTTGCTGGCTGGCGGTTGTGGCGCGTTGTCCGAATCGTCCATGATCATATCATCGTCGCTGTCCGCCTTGGCTTTCGCCGCCGCCGCTGCCGCAGCACGACCACGGCCGCCACGAGAAGCCGTCGAGCCTTTCGCAGCCGACACCTTTTCGTCTTCGGGATCAGTCATGACGGCCTCGGGTCTCTCCTCCCACGGGCCATTCAGGTCCGAGTCGTAGTCAAAGGGCTGCGGCTTGTATCTCGGTCGCCTAACCATGCTCCTCTGTCCTGCGTCAAATTTGGCCGTTTGTTCCTTCAGGATCTCGGCCATGCGCGCCTCGACCTCCATGTCTTCAACACCCAGGGCCATCATGCTTTTGACTTGTTTGGACAGGGAGTCAAAGACGACGTCATCTATAGCCTTCTTGTCATCCTTGCTCACAAACGAGTTGACAGCCTCTCCCATCTGCTTCTGGGGCAGGATCTTAACGGATTGTTTGGTTACGTAGTCGAATACCAACTCCTCGACCTTGAGAATATCAAGAGTTCCGTCCTCGGCTGTGACCTCGTAAATCTTGCCGGCGCTCCTCTTGTCCGTTTTCCCGGCCGAGCTAGCGGCCGTCTTCCGGCGGTGGAAGTAGACCAGATCGCTTGTGTTGGCGACCCTCTCGGCGAAGCGGCCTGAGAAGCGCTGCGGGTTCTCGACTTCGAACTCGCCCGTAGCCTCGGGGGCGCCGTGCTCGACCTTGAGGCGAATCAGGGGTAGGGGTTGCTGGTCAGGGGAATCCTCGCTGTTCTCACCCGAGTTCTGCAGCTCCTCCCACTCGCGCGCGGCCTGCTCGATCATGTCGTCAACTATGGCCGTAAGCAACTTGGTCACTTCGGTGCGGTGATCCTTGGGCTTCTGCTTCCACAGCTTCTTAAATTTCGGGTCCTGAGCGAGCACGATTTCGCGTGTGACAAAGGGACGGACCGACTTGAGCGGAATCTTGTCGACAGTGAACTCCTTGCCCGTGACGTTGAGCACGGCCACGTGCTTGGGGACGGCCTCGCCGGGGACGAGCGAGGTGGCGACAGACGAGCCTGGCTGCATGACGTGAAATCCCGTCTCAGGGTTCTCAACGGGGTCGACGAGACACTCGTGCTCGTGGCCCCAGACGACGAGGTCGACCCAATCCGGCAGGAAGTTCTCGGGCAGGTAGCCGGTGGCGGTGTGGGCATGGTGGTTCTGGTGCACCGTCAAAAGGTTGAACCAGTCCTGCTTGGCCTGGGAGGGGCGGAAGAACTTCACATGGTTGTCTCGGAAGGTGCGGTGCATGCGCTCGTCGCGCACGTTGCTGATGCCGTACAGGGCCAGCTTGGTGTTGCCCTTCTGCAGCAGCACGGGGCGAACCTCAATGTTGTCGGCCTCGGGCACGCGGCCAAAATAGTTGACGAGGCCGGCAACTTGCAGCAGGTCAAGAGAGCAGAAGTGGCCGTCGCCGCTGGGGTCGTCGTGGTTGCCGTGGATCGAGAAGACAGGTATAGAGATGTTGATGTCGGGGTCCTCGTAGTTGACGTGGCCAAAGGCGCCGGCGAAAACCTCAGTCGGGTCGCACAAGAACTCGAGCTCACACGGCTTCATGCCCAGGCAGTTCTGGCGCAGGCTGCGCATGACCTGGTACATGGCCTTGCGCGACGGCTTGTTGTCGTGGAAGAGGTCGCCGCCGAGAAGCACCATATCGACATCCTGGCTCTTGGCGATGTGCATGATCTCGTCAAACGTGCGCCAGCTGTCGTCGCGCCGGATCGGGTCCTTCTCGCCGTAGCCAACATGGTTGTCGGTGGCGACCAGGATCCGAATCATGTCTGCCTCTAATGGTGGGGTGGTCACAGGAGGGTCAGTCTGTCTCCCAGCGCAGCAATGAACGAGGATAGGAACGTTACCTCTGGCGGGCGGCATCGTGGAAGATTGCGGCGTTGATCGCAGCTCTCTATGGCCAGGCTGTGCCAGCCCAAGTTAAATGTGAGCAGTTCCAGAGCCACCTCTTCCGTCAGATCACGTTTAACGGCGGCTTTTTGCTGGTGGGCTGGTATTCTGATGTCACAGCGGAGCAAGTTCGCGACGCGAGCTGTCTGCCTGGTGTGCGACAGACACACGAAGTCACGTGTAAGCCTGTTCAGCTCTTCCTCGGTCGGTTTCCCCACAGCCCCGCCAAACCCAATTGGGGAGCTCCCCGCCAACGCGCTGTAGCTTTCGGAAGCTCCGCGTCTTCAGCTGTCGCAAACTAACGCCAACCAAGGGTCCTTGCCTGGAGCTCCCTTGCCGCCTGAGCCCTGCACCCCTCACGCCTTGCCTTTGAGTGGTCGAGAGTCTGTCTCACCTTCCTCCCATCTTCCACCCCAAGTCCACTTTCCACCATGCCTCGTCCAGCACCCCGAGGCCCTGGCCACCCCTCCGTCCCCGAAGAGGCGCACCACATCAGGGGCCAGTCTCTTGACGATGCGAGGACAGCCGCCGAACTACATCTCCGCCACCTAGCAGACCGCCACGCATTGGGTAAATATCTCCAGCTTCGAGTTTGCAGTGCTCCCCATAATCACGTCGACAGTCCCTTGCTGCATACGCGCCACTCTTGCTGACGTCCTTGCTCCGACCCCCACCGCAGAAGCAGAAGAGCAGCCCGAGGACGAGTTAGAGACCACGGACGAGTACGAAGACGACGAGATTGCGGACGGCGGCGAAGTCCTGTCGGATGAGGACCCCCAACACTGGGGCGAAAGGCAATCGCGGAGTGGTCTCGTCGACGAGCTGCAGCCCGACGATATGATGGAAGGCGACCTTGACGTCGACATACACGACGAGGAAGGCGCCCCGACTGACGACTTTGAGTATGAAGAGATGGAGGACACGGTACCACCATTTGACCCCGCCGCCCTTGGCCTTAAGGAGATCAACAACCTGGCCCACTTCAGCGTGAGCAGCCACAAGCCGGGGAACGGGGTGGCGGAGCTGCTGAACGATGACCTGGACAAGTATTGGCAGTAAGTCTGGCCTGCGCAACAAGGGGGAAGAAAACCAGGGCCGTCTGACTCCTCATCCACTGCTTCCAAGGTCTGATGGCCAGCAACCCCACCTCCTCACGATACACTTTCTCCGCCGAGTCGAGATCAGGGCGCTCCGCTTCTTCGTCGACCACACGCAGGACGAGTCGTACACGCCCATACGCATCCTCTGGCACGCCGGCACGGGCCACCATGACTTGATACAGTTCGGCGAGCAGGTGCTGACTAGCCCGAGCGGGTGGCAAGAGGTCAAGATCGAGGGGCTCGGCGGCGGTGCCGACGGCAACTCGCTGTGCTGCTTTATTGTGCAGATGCACGTCAAGGAGAATCATCAGAACGGCAAGGACACGCACATCCGTGGCATCAAGATCTACGCCCTGGATGAGAAGGCGCCGCGCGCTGGCGGCCGCGGCGTCCTTGAGGGTGGCGATGATGCCGCCGCCGAGGGAGAGACAGGGGGTGCCGGTGGGCTGTTGGGTCTGCCGGGTCTGTCCGGAAAGAGAGCAGACCGGGAAGACAACGGGGAAAACTCGAGATTGGATGCGACGCCAGGTCGGCTCGACATTGGCGGTATGGCTCTGCCGGACTTTATGCGCGAGCCAGAAATCAGGTAGCCCTGGGATATGAGGACTATCGTTCTACGCATGTCCTTCTCGTCTTGTATTCTGCAGGCACTTTCAGGTGTTGGATGGCGCTTTTGTACTGCTTCGATATGATACCCGATAGTAACGGTGCAATGCATTTTTATCTGTTGTTTTTTGAGAGGTTCGTTGTCGTCGGTGCTGTTCCGTCAAATCAACACATCCCCACTCTACCCTTGCACGCCCACCATAAAAAAGAAGGCAGCTTTATAGGTCCCAAGGACCGCATTCACGACCTTCGGGTCGACCGATAGATATAGAGATGAGAAGCAGCTTGATTGGGATACCCTAAGTAGCCGTGTCTTGTCTACAGGGACACAGGGGAGGCTCCGCCGTACGGAACCTTCTCAACTATATACTACTATCCTAGAGGCCGCGGGCTGCGGAGCTGTGTCCTTGGTCTCCCTTCCTACTGCCGTGCGACCCGCTACCATTCAACAAAGTGGAATAGCTAAGATAGTATAATCACAAATTCCCTATTCTTATTATTTAGTATTATTCCTTGTATTATTCTTTTTATTATTCCTCTTTTTATCCCTATCGCTATCCCGCTTTTTATTCATATCGTCATCCCTTTTTTTGTTCCTCTTGTCATTCCTATTTTCATTCCCGTTCCTGCTCTTCCAATCCTATGTAATAGGCTTTTTGCTATTTAGGTAGGTGGAACTGCCATCTTTCTTGCGGGTGGGAGTGGTTGGAGTCGCCTAAACATTGACGCTGTGGAGCAAGATAAGCTCAACCGCAAGAGCTGCAAGGGCATACTCGCTACCTTGGAGCCGTCATCATTACAGCAGCCTACAGTCGCGCATAGTAATCAACAAGCCCATTTCTCCCCGCCCAGCATGGTCGAGCCAGTGGCGGATGCGAAGGGGGTGCGGCCCTGGGCCGAGGCAGACCTAGCCCATTTTCTAAAGTCGGGCAGCGATTTCGCCATCGTCAGGCGGCTGCCCTGCCATGAGAAGCCCCAGGAGGTGGGCCAGGTGCTGCCGCTGGCGGACCTCGAAAATACCCTTGGGCCCGAGCGGATCCTAGTCTTGGATTCGTCCTTCAATCCACCGACCAAGGCGCACAGACAGATGGCGATCGAGGCCGTGGCGCATTACGGTTCGCACGGGACGCGGCTCCTCCTGCTGCTGTCGGTCAACAACGCCGATAAGGCGGCCAAGCCGGCGGCGTTCCCGGCACGGTGGGCCATGATGGAGCTACTCGCCCGGGACCTGGCCCTCTACTTCTGGGAGCAGCAGGAGCAAGCGGACCGCCAGCGCGCCGCGGGATGGCCCAAGCATGAGCTCTCACCCTGGTTCGGCATCGACATGGCGCTGACGACGCTCCCCTACTTCCACCAGAAGAGCGAGGCCCTGGCGGCGGCGGAGACCCACACGTTCGTGCCGCGTTGGCCGAACACGGACAGGCGTGCGCAGCAGGTGCTGCTCGTCGGGTTCGACACTCTCACCAGAATCCTGGACCCCAGGTACTACCCCCCGGGGCGGGTAGCTGAGACGCTGGGGCCCATGTTCGAACGGGCGACGCTGCGGGTGACGCTGCGGGCGGGCGCGTCGGCTATCGATGGGTGGGAACAGCGAAGATACGTGTCGGCCGTGCGGACGGGCCGGGACTGCAAGTGGACGCAGTGGACGTGGAGAGAAAAGGTCGTGGTGGCTGAAGAGACCCACAGGGCCCTCGGTGCCGAGACCGACATCAGCAGCACGCGGGCAAGGACGGCGGTCGCAGAACAGAATTGGGCCCTGCTCGCGACGCTGGTGCCTCCGAAAATCGCACAATGGATCCAAGAGCAAGAACTATACAGGGAGGAAAGCCAAGGATCGAGTACGGAGGGGGGTCAGGCATTGCATCATCCGGAGGGTCCAACATCGCAGGCGGAGGAGACCCGAGCATCGTACACCGAAGCAGGCCAGGCACCGTAGATCGGTGCGGCCAGAGCTTTCAATAGCGAGATTCCGGCTATTCACATCGAGGGAGTTTCAGCATTGTACCGTCAGGAGAACCCGCTTCGGTACAATCCGGTACTCCACAACGGGACCGGTTCGGTATTGTCCCACGGGGCCGGTCCGGTGTTTTTCAGCGAGACAAACGCAGCCTTGCGCAGTGGTGATAGCCCAGCATCTTACGGGAGCCCAGCACTCTCTCCCGAGGGGAGTCTAGGATGGAATAGTGAGGGGATTCGACAATCACACAGCGAGTCTCCTCGGTCGATATTTGACTGGAGCCCGACTCCGGAAGACTTCAACGACATCGAGATTCCAGCATTCTTCAGCGAAAACCCGACGTTGTTCAGTGAGAGCCCTCCATGATATTCGACGGGAACCAGATTCCCGAGACATTCACCTGGAGCCAGACTCCGGAAGCACTCGCCTGTAATCAGACTCCGGCAATACCCGACTCCAACGATGCTGCAGAGTTCTTCGGCGAGGAGCCGCAAAACTCGGCATGGATCAGGGAGGAATTTCCCTTCGACGAGGACCAGTCAATGCAACGAGGAGGACTAGATGAGGCACAGGAAGGAGAACACAGCATTGCTAGATGAAGAGAACTGATAATCGAGTAGCGACATGGATGTATATTGTTCTAGCATTCTCTATGGCAGAGAGCCCGGTGTTTTTTTTTTTCCTACAGCGGGGACGGTGGGGTGGACGGAGGAATGCTCGGGTGACAAGGAGGCTATCACGAATATCTGCGCACTGGTTCACTATGGGGTTGCCCGAGCGATGACGACGAAGAGCTGCTGAGAGTCTAGATCCCGCGCATGTCTATGAGATGGAGAGACGGCATCGACAAGAGTGGGGGAGAGGAAAGCCAGCATGCTGTCCTTCCAGCGTGATGCAGGGGGCAACGCTGCACGTTCGAGTATACAGAGGAAAAGAGCGTCAAAAGATGGATGTTCATCTCGGTCCTTTGGCGGAGCCTTCGGTGCATGCGTGTCTTGGGAAGCCTCGTCTCAGTGCTGTGGGCTGCTAGACGATGGTCATGATGGCCTCGAGGCGCGGCCAGTGGGAACAGGCGTGGTGGATGCCCCACCGCCAGCCTCCACCCAGCAGATTTTTTTTTTGGCGGTCAGAAAAAGGTGTGGCAGAAAGAAATGTCTGCAGCTAGCACGGACCACGAGGCAGCACGGCACGGGCCACATCTGCCGGTATAAAACCGCACCCATCCGCCCGCCCATTTGATTTTTTTCTTCCTTTCTTCTTCATGTCGACAATACTTCAGAGAATCATTTCTATAGTATTTGTCCCACTTCTTTGTTTCCCAAAGAAGCTTCAGATCCCACCCTGGTTGATGACCACAAATCCTCGTCGCCCTCGAGTGAAAACTCTCTTTTTGCCCTCGCTCTGTCCGCAAGGATGGCGGAGAATGGCGCGCCTCCGGGTCGCCGTCTCTGTATAGAGGACTGTGATGATCTCTATCCCGGTCACCCAGGGTCTTGCCTTCGGGCGCCTGGGCGGGATGGGCAGCGATGGACGTCTGACAGGCTCTGATTTTTTCTCTTTTTCATTGCGCTCCTGGGCTTGCCCAGGTCGCGAAGAAGAAGGATTTCTCCTTATCTTGCCCTGTCAATTCTTTGCGCAGCACAACTTCTCCTCTTGTAGTTCTTACGCCAATCATTGTCGTTCCCCCTGTCAATCCCCATAGCTCGACTATGTTGTCATCGATGACCTTCCCGCGCTGTCGCGATACCCTGCCATGTGTCGCACTCGCTGTCTGTGTTAGTTGTAGAGGGCGAGGTCAGCGCAATGACCAAGGCACACCACCGACGCGGCTCAACAGTGGTGTGCTGGTTCCTTGTCTCGTGGCACTCCTGCTTACCAGCGTGTGTCGTGCTTCGAAGCACCCATCATGCAGTCTGGTCCCGAATATTGCATTGGCGATGCTCGGCGTGGGCTCTACATCTTCTTTGCTGACCCTCCTCTGTCCGCTCCATCGAATCTCACCCCTCCCTGGTCCCCTGACCAAGGCCAAAACGGAAGGTCCCCCAAGAGTAGGTGCATTTGTGTCGCCATGACCATGTTCGCCTCGAGGTTGGCTTGAACCGCCTGCCTCATCGGGCAACCCGCCTCTGCTGCAAGCCATTTTTTTTCCCTGCTTGCATGCCTTCCGCACTCGCCGGCCCGTCCTCGCTACACTAGGCGATTTTTATTTGTCCATTTTCCTCTCCCTCTCTCCACCCCTACCAAGCATCACACGTGTGGGGGTCACTGGCTGCCCGCTGCGAGCCTATCTAATCCTCAAGGTGCTTGCACCAGGCACGGCAAGCTAGGGTGATTGCCTGTTAGACATCGGGCGGCGAGGACGAGATGGGCTCTGTTTGGGACCGCTTTCAAGTGACCGGGCCTCACCATTCTCAGCTGGCCTTTGCCGGGATGCGCGCTTCTCTGCATGGCCAACAGGCAGAGCTCAGCCTAGGCGATATATTCCTGATATCGGGAGACACTTATCGTCCCGCCCCGGCTGCACGTCCTTCGCTCAGCAGGTACCCAGGCAAGGCCTGCAGATGCCGTGGCCGACCAGGCAGCCCGATACCGACCGGTCGGGCAGGGCCTCGTATCGAGCGTCTCTCCGGTGCCTGCAATGCGACGCTGGGGACGCGGCCTGGCAATCCTCTGAGCTGCAGGCCCGCAGGGCTCACCCGATATCACCTAGCCTCGTGCTGCGAGACGGCAATATTTCCTCAACAACCTTCTCCATCAGGTCTTGGCTTCACCCGACCATCTCACAATAGCATCACAAGGTCCCATTCTCTTCCGAGCGGCGCCGAACTGGAGCGAACTGGAGCGAATTAGAGCGAACGGTTTCTTGAGCCGTCTTCCGGCCTGTTCTTGTGCGGCACAGCGACATATTGCGTTGTGACGTTACCATGGCCCGTCGCCGACGAGCTGCCCTATCCGCATGTCATGCCGTGTCGCGCGGCGCGAGAGTAAATGGGAGAGGCATGTAGCAGAGGGCGCGGACTTGTCATGCAGGCAGCGGAGTTGCATCACTAACTCACTTCACTGCAGCCATCACGGTCTGACATCTTTTGTAAGCATGCTTTCCATGCTTCGTCAGTCCAAGAGATCCCGGGCCTGTCGATACAGCGCACCTGCCTGATGGTGGAGGCGTCATCCGACTGCCACATATGTTGTGCCTGTCGGGGAACATACACGAGAGGAGGGGCCGCAAGGAAAGGAGGTGGGACATAGCCTTGATAACGACCGCATGGAGTTGGTCACTTACCTTTAGTCGCTGTAGAGGATGGATGGACTTGAGGCGATATCGAAAGCTCTATTAAAGCTGCGCCGTTCCCACGTCTCTGCGAAACTTCTCTGGTCCTTTGGCCTTTATGGAGCCTCGCATGCTGGCTTAACAAGCAAGCCGTCTCAGACATTTGTCCGAGATCAAGATGCGTTTTTCCAGCCTCATCCTCTGCCTGTCGTTTACTGGTACCCTCGCCGTTGAGCGGCGCCAGGAGCGCAAGGTTGCCTCGGATCAGGGGTCGGTGCTACATGCTCCCAAGAGGTACATCCTCGAAACGCCGTCAGTAAGTGTTGCTTTGCCGTGTCGCACGTCCCGACGCCACCATTGCCCGCTCCGCGATGCGTCTGACGGTGGCTATGATCCTCGCAGGGTTCAAACCTCGCGCAACTCAAAGCCAAGGTCGAGGCCGGCGGCGGCACAGTCCTCAAGATCTTTGACACGCCTGGAGTCTTCACGGGCCTGTCGGTCGAAGCGCCTAACGATAATGCCGACTCTCTCGAGGCAGTGCCCGAGGTGGCGCGCGCCTGGCCCGTCGTCCGCGTCCATCTGGGAGCGCTGCAGCCGCTTGGGTTCAGCGACGATGCGGCTGCGCCCAACTACACGATCCACTCCTACACGGGCGTCGACAAACTCCACAAGGAGGGTATCCTCGGCAAGGGCGCCCGGGTCGCTATTGTCGATACCGGGGCTGACTACAACCACCCAGCCGTGAGTTGACCCATTGCGTTTACTGTCTTGTGTTGGCTGGTTGTCCGTCGCTGCCTAACACCACTGCCCTGAGATAGCTGGGCGGCGGTTTCGGGTCGGGGTTCAAGATTGCTGGAGGCTATGATCTTGTAGGCGATGGAGGTGAGTTGTGATGCAAATGGCCACAATCCTAGCCCGCGGCTGAGATGCCTGCAAAATGCCAACTGTGATGCTGATGATACTGAGTCCCCAACAGCTTGGCCTGGTTCGGAACCCAAGACGCCCGACCCAGATCCTCACGATACCTTCGGCCACGGGACCCATGTAGCGGGCATCCTCGCCGGGAAGTCCGAGTGGTTCGCGGGTGTTGCGCCCGAGGCCAGCCTCTACATCTACAAAGTGTTCGCCGATTTGAGTGGCGGTGGCTATACCGACGACGAAACTCTGATCGACGCCTTCCTCATGGCCTTCCGGGACGGGGCCGACATCATCACCTGCAGCGTCGGGGCCCTGAGCGGCTTTTCCGACGGGCCTTGGGCTGTGGTCGCCTCGCGCCTCGTTGAGCGGGGTGTTGTTGTCACCATTTCGGCTGGCAACGAAGGCTACAGCGGCCCGGTCTTTTCCAGCTCGGGAGCGTCTGGCAAGAACGTGATTTCTGTGGCCTCGACGGACCCCAAGACGATAGCTGCGGATCCGTTCATAGCAACATTTACCCTTGACGGGCAGTCCAACAAGTCGGCGCTCGCATACGCCCCCGCAGGCTTTCTGTGGACTGTCAAGGACCTGCCCGTCATCCTGCCAAATCTTGATACAACGACCGAGGCCGGGGCCTGCAACCCGCTTCCGGCGACGACTCCCGACCTCTCCAGGGGTATCGCGCTGGTGCGGAAGGGCGCGTGCGACTTTGCGACGCAACAGGCAAACCTGGAGGTCTTTGGGGCGAGATACATTCTATTTTACAACAAAGATGAGAGCTTTCGTCCACCCGATCCGTCTTCGGGTTTTGATTCGGAGATGGCCACGATCGAGGTCAAGGCGGGAGAGGCAATCATAGCCACCATCAAGGCGGGAGGCAACGTCACGGCCGACTTCAGCTCCCGCGGCGACTGGGCCGTTGGAGCGTACAACTCGGCCGGCGGCACCCCCTCGTATTATACAAGCTGGGGCACGCTCAACGAGCTCGAGTCCAAGCCCGACATTGCGGCGCCGGGAGCTAATATCTACGCCCCATACCTCGGCGGGGGGTTCGCCGTGCTGTCGGGCACGTCGATGGCCTGCCCCTACGTCGCTGGCATAGCAGCGCTCTACATCGGCAAATACGGCGGCCGGTCCGTCCACGGCCCTGGCATTGCAAAGAAGCTGACGGACCGGATCCGGGCCTCGGGTGGGGCGCTGCCGTGGCAGGTATTTACGCCGAGGAACGTGCCCATAAACTACGGCTTCTGGGCGCCGGTGACACAAGTGGGCGGCGGGCAGATCGACGCCCGCAAGGTGCTCAGATACGATACACAGCTCACATTCGAGCCCATCGCGCTCAACGACACGGCCCACTTCAACCGGTACCACAGTGTCGACGTGACCAACTCGGGCGCGGGCCCTGTCACGTACAAGTTCGCGCTGCAGCCAGCGGGCACGTTCAACGCGCAGAGCCCGTACTATCAGGACTTCCTGGCGCAGCTGTACGACCTCGACCCGTACGCCTTTTCGCCGCAGGTTAGCTTCCCGTCGGGCAAGTTCACGGTGCAGGCGGGCCAGACGCGGACGGCGCAGTTCGGCTTCTCACTGCCGGCCGGGCTCGACGCGAGCCGGCTGCCCATGTACAGCGGCAAGATTCTGGTGTCGGGCAGCAACGGCGAGGAGCTGTCGGTGCCGTACACGGGGGCCGGGTTCGACCTCAAGGGCCAGCTGCGGCGCAGCATGTTCTCGGACACGACGCCGTTCCAGCTGGGCGGGGCGGGCCGCGAGGGCATCGACACGTACCACACGTACAACTTTGACCTCGACTGGATGGTCCAGAGCTTCCCCAAGGTCTACATCGAGCTCAAGTGGGCGACGCGGCAGGTGCGCTGGGACATCTTCGAGGCGGGCTGGCGGGAGCATAGGTGGAAGTACCCGCCCGTGGCGGGCGAGGGCGGCTACGTCGGGTCGGCGACAAGCTCTATTTACTCGAGCAGCTGGGCCTTTGACCCGAGCTTCATGGACCGCGAGGCCGTGGTGCCGCTGCCGGTGGCCAGCCCGCGCAGCTCGACGGGCCGCGGCACGCTGTACCCCTTTTGGTGGCTGGGCAAGCTGGCCAACGGGAGCTACATTGCGCCGGGCAACTACACGTGAGTGGTTTCTCCAGTCTGATGTTTGCTGTGAATGGTGCTGATACATGCTTGACGACAGCTTCCGCTTCGCGGTTCTGGTGCCGATGAGTGACCCCGATCACTCGGACAACTGGGACATATGGAAGACACCCGAAATCACTATTTTGCCATACAAGGTCTGAGGAACGTGCGAGGGGCTGCAGGGGTGTCGGCAGCAGATTAGGGGCTGTTGGCTGGCCATGCAGGCTTGTTTGCCACCAATTTCAGTGTTTGTTTGTAGGTGTCACCTGGTCCGTCCTCTGCCGCAGTCGAGATCTGGATAGGTCGATTGCGGCTTGATGTGGCCGACATGGCTCATCACCTCAGTCTGGGCACCCACAGACTTTGGCAGTGATGTCGACGATCGAAAGAAGACGGATACGGGCCCTGGACTGGCAGGGGGTTGCTAGCGGCAGGCAGAATCAGCGACGCGTGCGACGGCGTGCAAGCCAGCACACATTTGCACTGCGACTATTTTAGCGGCCACGGCTGCGTGCAGGAGCTGAGCTGTTGGTGCGGCTGCGAGTGCTGTTCACCTTGGAAATTCGAAATGTGATGGAAATTTTGCCGAATCGTCAGATTCCACCTGTCAATCCCGTCTGGCCCCAACCTCCACCTGCAGCCTGCAGCAGCAGCCTCTACCTTGACTGCTCAGGCCTCCAGCCACCTGCCCACCGCCAATCGATCGGACGAGAAAAGGCTGACGCTGGACTTTCCCAGCGCCCTCGTCTGGTTGCTGGCCTTCTATCCATTCCATCTCACCCGCACCCTGCTCCGTCCCAAGTCAGGCCACAATTGGGTCAAGAAAGCTCCAGCGATACAAAATTGTGCCGCCCCCATTAATCAGTCCCCAGTGCCTTCCTGCGGGGTGCGTGCCTTCCCTTCCCCATCTGGCCCGCAACAGGGACACTTCCCCAACCTCGCCCCGCCAGCGTCTCCAAGAGCTCGCCCAGACCGCCAAAGCGAACTCCACCTTGGTCGCCCACCATCCACCATTGAGCCGACCGAGGGGGCTGCCTCCAGTTGTCGCCGCTCGACGGGTTCCATGACAGGTTCGCTCAGCCCGCCACTGCTCTCCAGGTGAGGAGGTAGGCTGGCCGGGACAGCCGCCGCCAGAAGACGATGGAGCCGGCTCTGCACATGCAGCAGCGCATCGCCCAGGGCCTGAACGACGTCACGCTGTCGCTGCGCAGCTCCTTCAACTCGCTCGTGCTCGGCGCCGCCACCACTCCCGGAGCTGCCGGTCCCACCAACAATGCGGCCGCCCAGCCAAACGCAACTGCAAACGCAAACAACCACGCCACCGCCGCTCCCTCGACGGCCACCTCTGCCAACCCCAGCACAAACGCCCCGACTACTCCCGCCGCCAGCACCACCACCGTCGGCGGGGCCACCCCAAGCTCGCCCGCGCAACGTAACCCCTCGGACGATGGCGTCGCCGCCAACCCCGTCACTACCATGAGCACCGGCGCCGACGTCGATCTCGAGAAGGGCCTGCCCGAGATGGAGGAGCTGCGCCATCGGTCCTCGTTGCAGGGCGGCTCCTCCAGCATTGCCCTCGACTCGGATTCCCACAGCCACGGCACGCCCGCCAAATCTGCCGCCAGCTCCAGCCGAGGACCGCCCGAAGCACAACACCAGCGACAAACACAAGGTTGGGAAGCCGAAAGGCCCCCCACAGGCGGCACAGAAGCAACAGCAGAAACAGGGGCCGTGGCGGATACGGCGGTGCAGAACGAGGAGGAGACGGCCATGGTGCTGCGACAGCGGCGCCAGCAACGAGCGCCGCTGACGTTGCAGACGCTGCCGCCCGAGGTGCTGATGCTGATCATCCACCAGCTCAACTTTGGCGACATTGAGCGGCTGCGGCGGACGAGTCACTTTTTCCACGACTTCGCGGCGCCGCGCATGGTGCGCGCGCTCTTTGGCGCGACCGAACTGCACCGTCTACTAGTCAGCCACTGTGCGTCGTGCTTGATCTACGACGAGGGCAAGTCAAGCCTGTTGCTGGCCAGCATAATGCACCGCGACTACCCGCTCTGTGCGCGCTGCGTCGACTGCGCCGTGGCCAAGCGCGACGAGCGCCTCGTCGTCGGCCGCAAGGTCACTATGGGTGACGGCGGCGGCGTCTGGGTCTGCCGCTGGTGCGGCTGGCCCGTCTTGACCGACGCCGCCCTCGGCCACACCCAGTTCCACCGCGAGTGCTACGGCGCTTATAACGACAGCCTGCTCTTCTTCTTCCTCCTCGGCTGGATCCAGCTCGGCCTGGGCATCGTCGCCGCCGCCCTGGCCTGGACCTACTATCGCGACGCCATCACCGTCTACGCCCCGACCATCACCTCTTTCATCATGTTGTGGGTGTGCTTTGCCATGCTCATGTTCCGCGGAAACCGCGTGCGAACGTACCACTGGACACTCCTGGTCGAGATGATTATGTTCTGCCTCTGGGTCCTGCCCGTACACTACACCATTTCGTTGTATCTGATATACGATGACCTGCCGAGGAGCACAATGGCGTGCTTGATCATGTTCTCGCTCAATCTGTACGTTGCCTGCTCCTTTTCCTTCCCTTTTTCCCTCGTGACGTATCGGAGCGAGCCTTTTTGCTAACCCAACTTTGCTGTCATGTGCAGAGTGTTCCGACTGCTCAATGTCCTTGGCAACATCATACTCATGTGCGAATATCAGCGGACGAATCACTACCTGCCCAAACGGATGATACCGTTTTGGAGGCGCATCACGAACCCGCTGGCCGACGCCCTCATCTTCTGGACCTACCCACAGTCGGTCGAGCAAAAATATCCCCCCCACTGGGGCTAAGCGGCCCCTGTCAAAAATTATTCTTTTTTCATTTTTGTTGATCGACAACGACGTCATTTTCGGCCCTTCTCGCTAGTTGAACTCGTCATCAAGAACCATGTACACCACCTGCTAGCGTTTTGTTTTGTTGTTTTTTTCATAGAACTTGTCTCAGTGGATCCTAAATAGGAGCATACGGATGATAAAGTTATAATGATGGGTTGGAACGGCGCTAGGAAAATGGAATGGGCCTGGCTGGAAGGAATATTGGCCGGAAAAAAACAGGCTATTGTTGATAAAGATTAGGCCATAGCCACGGCGCGGTTGGAAATGGGAAATATTTAAGTACTTAGCGTATAGTGAATAGTATACCGTACACACCTCGACTTGCGCTCGCTCGTATTTGTGCTTATAAATGTTTTTCAACGTTTCCCTTTAGCAGTTCGCCTACTGAGGATGAGGTTTTCATGATTCATGGATAGTACGTGAGAGAGAGGAGAGAAGGGTGGGTGGGACAAGACGGAGGGGAAGAGGGGAAAGCGTCTTGGCGCGAGCACCGACGCCCCATATATGCGGTAGATCGCACCACACCACAACAAGCATGATATCTCCCCTTGGTGTAGTTGGTTTATCACGTTCGACTGTAATTGGCAAATTGTTATCGAAAGGTCCCTAGTTCGATTCTGGGAGGGGAGACATTCTTTTTGGTGATGCTGCTGTGCTTTTGTCAAAACGCTCCTTGTTGCACATGAATGATTTGTGCAGTGGACTACGTAATGGGCTTGCAGTGCTCGCAAGCTTCGTCTTTCTTTGGGCGGCGTATTCAGGCTGACTGACCACTGGAGAGAGGACGCAAGACCGACCCGTGTTTGGATAGGAATACACACATCACCAGCCCCAGTAGGTCCGGTATATACCGTGAAAATTACTAACCATACAACATACACATCTGAATCTTGCATCCAACGGTAGCCTGCGTGTCAAGATTGTAAATTCCCCAGCTACATAAAACCTTGGAAAAACGCCTTTCGCAATGACCCGCTAGAGGAAAACAAGAAATCCCTAGCTACGTAAAACCCATAGCCGTACATGGCCCCGCGCATCACGGAAGCTCGGTCCTGTCGTCCGGGGCCACGCGCATCTTCATAGCGGCCATGTCGGACAGCAGGAACTTCTGCTCGGCCGCCTCGGCGCCCCAGAGCGGCCCCGGGTGGTGCGGGCGCGGGGCGCGGCCGCCCGGCTCGGCGCCCGACGGCATCTCGTACTCGGGGCCGTAGCCCTGGTAGCCCTCGCGCACCGGCAGCTCCGACGCCGCCGCCGACGCCGGGCCGGCCCCTGTGGCGCTCCAGGGCGAGACGACGCTCTCGTGGCCCGAGGGCGTGCCGTCGGAAACGCCCGTCCATGCCCGCTCGGGCTTTTGGGGAGGCGTCGTCGAGGTGGTGGACGATTCGCCGCCGCCGCCGCCCCCTTGCTGCTTGCAGCTGTCGAGGATGAACTGCTGCTGCTGCCGGAGGTAGCCCGACACGTGCGCCAGGCCCGGCGGCGTCGTGGCGTCTGTGCCTTCGTTGCCCTCGCTGCCCGGCGCGCCCCGAGCAGCAGCGCCGCCGCTGCCGGTGCTGCGGATGCTGCCCGCGGCCTGGGGATTCATCGCGCCCGCCGCGGCGTCGCTGCTGCCGCTGCCCACCGCGTTCGGTGGTATCGCTGCCATTCCTGCTGCCGCCCCCGCCGCCGTCTGCTGTCGGTCGGACCGGTAGCTGCTGCCGCGCGTGGGCGGGCCGACGCGCGGCGAGGAGCCGCCGCCGTCGGTGGAGCCGCTGGCGGCCTCGAGCTTGCGCTCCTCGATCTCGCGGGCGCGCTGGCGCAGCTGGCGGCGCTGCTCAAAGTACCAGATGGCGACGGCGCCGGCGATGATCATGATGACGCCCAGGGTGACGCCGACACCGATGCCGGCCTTGGCGTCGCCGCTGAGGCCGGTGCCGCCGTCGCCGGGGTTCTGGGCGGCAGCGGTGGTGGCGAGCTCGGGACGGGGCGTGGCGCCGGTGCCGCGCTGCGAGGGGTCCTCGACGGCGACGCGCCAGGCGGGGGCGTTGTTGGGCTCGCCGATGGAGCGCTTCATGAAGCAGGTGAAGTTGCCGCGGTAGTCGCCCCAGCCGACGGCGGTGCAGCCCGTCTTGTCCGAGGCGCAGCGCGCGATGCACTCGTTGGTGTTGGGCGACGGCAGGGAGCGTATGTCCCAGGCGCCAAAGTCGGAGCTGTAGTCGCGTCCGCACAGCACCACGTACCGCTTGGCCGTCACGGGCTCCGTGTACACCGTCAGGTTGTCGCTGGGGCAGTTGATGAAGGCGTCCGACGGCCCGCTCGTCTGCTGCGCCGTCGGCGCCGGTATGTCGGGCGTCGCTCGCTTGTGCTGCTCGCGTGGCTCGACCGTCCTGGTGCCCCGTGGGGTTCCGTCGTCTCGCAGCTCGAGTTGCTTTTCGTCATGGTCATCGTCGTTTCCGGCTTTCCTCCGACCTCTCCTCCTCGTCACGATAAACCTGTCGCTATTGGTGCTTGGCTGGTCTGGATCGTCGAGGGACCCGAGGTTAAACCAGCACACCTTCTCCTCCGACTCGTCACCGCTGTCCAGCCGTATCCTCGAAAGCGAAAGGGTCAACTGGCTAGAAAAGGGGTGAGCTTTTTGGATGCTCTCTGGACGCACGGGGGCATGTTAGTGATCCCAGGTCGCCGCCGCGGGGGTCGCAGATGGGACAAGTACACATACCTTGTCTTGGACTGGCCGGGTCACACCAGGTGGTGAGGACGGGCCAGGCCAGGGGGGACGTGTACTTTACAGTAACCACGTCCTCAGGCGCGAAGGCCTGCCCCGCGAGAGAAGAAAATATGATTTTGGTGGCTGCTGAAGAGCCATCGCGACCCGAGACGGCGGCAGCGCCGACGCCGACGCTACACACAGCCACGGCGATCGCAAGGGAAAAGGCGGAGCGAGATGTGACGGGACAAGGCCGACACCTCGCGGCCCCGTCTCCTCGTCTGCACCCGGCGGCCCTCGCCATTGTGCGGGGATAACAGTGGAAAGGCCAGAGAGTCGCGGACCGAGGTGCTATGCACCGGTATGCACCGGTTTTACCCCAGCCTGGGCTGGCAAGTCTCTAGACCACGAGGAAGAGAGACGATGACGCGCCGTGGCGGGGTGTCTTGATGCGAGGTATTAGGGAAATTACGAAAAAAACCGTTGGGGCGGTGAGGGTGAGATGGGTTGGTAGCTAGAGTGGCGGAAAGGGCAGAGAACCGGAGGGATCGTGAGACTGGGAGGCGAAGGATAGGAGGGGAGGTCAGCTAGGCTGGGCGTGGGCAAGGGGCATAGGATAGCACAGCCTGGTCGGCTAGTTCTGTGGGCAGATTGCTGACACCTTCTGCCGCCGGTGCCACCGCACGCAATATTGTGTGCCGCATGCAACGGCGGCCTGCACTGGCTCCAGCCAAGCTCATCAGCCGGAGCCAAGGGGGAAATTCGCGAGCTGCCGCACCACCTGGACACGCCGAAAATTCTCACTTATGCAGCCCAGCCAAGCACCGTCCTCTTTGGGGCTAGCTCAGGACACGGCGACACTACCCCCGCCATTCCAGCCCAGCCCCGACCCTCCCCGACGGCCGGGGGTATTAATATCCCAGCCCTCCTGTCGGTGTCGGACGCCACTGGACGAGCAAGAACTAAAATTCTCAGCATTTACTTACAGAAAGACGTGATAGATTTCGACACCAACCAATCCATGCCCAGCTCAAATGCCTGACATCCAGATCCAGACCGTCCTCCTCTCATCGCAGGAGTGTGGGGGCCATTTCTTCGCAGAGACGTGTGGGTGGGGCGGCCCGAACAAACTGATCTTACTCAGCGCCCACCACTGCATCTCGACCTTTTCCATTCTTCTACTGTATTCCTGACTGGAACCCCGCCACAGACAGCAAGGCGGAATCAGCAGCACAATACGGCAGCTAACGAGTTAAAACACCGATGCGCCTTCCCGCACGAACCAAGGAGCTTATCGTCCCAAGGGCTGCCCCATCCAAAGTCCCGCTAAAGAAGCTGCTGCGATCTGCGCATATTACGATTGGCTCAACCCTGGCAACCACCCCTGATAACCCCTGCAGTGACAAGCTCACGTGGGCCGTGCGCTCACCATCGCCATGATTGGCCAGCTCGGCTAGCGCAGCTTGGCTGGGCTGGCGCGGGAGACGACTGCCGGTCCTTGCCGCAACCTGAGGCACGCTATCTATCGGTGCCAATCTGTCCAATCATGGCTCATCCCACCAACAAAGTCGATGCCAGATTCGATGAGTAGTGGAAAAAAGTTTGGACCGCAAATTTTTTCCCCCACCCAAACTCTACCTTTCCCACCACAATTGTACCAGCACCAAAGCCAAACAATATGCCTGCGCCGCACTCTACACCTAAAAAAAAAAAAAAAAAAAAACACGCGTTTAAGGGATTTGTAATTATCTTGATGCAAAAGGCATTACTTATAGCCATAATAACGTTTTTCGTTTTGCCGGAGTGCTGAAGTCTTCCGGATGGGCTTTTCTTTTTTCCGGGCACCGTGCTCAGCCAAGGTGGGTGGGCGAAGACCTCAAACAAGGTGGGAGCTTAAACAATTACCTAATTTGGCTAAACGGCCCACTTCTTCTCCCACTTTAGCTGGGGTGTTTTTGAATTGCGAATGCAACGTATATGCAATTCTTAAATTTTAATTTTTTTTAAAAAGCGGCCAGGCACCGACCCAGCAAAGGCGCTAACGAAAACGTCAACAAAGACAGCCACCACCCCAAGCCAACTGGGTTAGTTTAACGGCCGGACGGCGGGACAACAACTAAGGACCAGCCACACCGGACCGGAGGCAAGCCGCACCTGGAAACACGACGTAAAGGTCAAGGGCGCCGGGCGCCGGCCCTACACGACCACACCGGCTGGCTAAGCAACCGTTTACCAGCGGCAAACGCCGGAGCTACCCCGGAGCAGTAGCGCTCTTACAAAGCCACATTTCTTATACATCTTCCTTAAAGTCTTTTTTATATTACCACTATATATTTACTTTACAACCAACCCCCCCCCCCCCCCCTCTGGCCGGAGGGTACGAGGACGCTTTTTTTGCCAGAGCATTTATTAGCAATCGAGCGGAACACAGTAAACGGCGCCGACGGTCCAACACCGACCCGGCACCGGTACGCAGGCGCAGGGTTTTCCTCCCTAGGCTACACCCAAGGGTTTCCCCCACGCAACACCATAGCTGTAGCACTAAGGTCTTTCCTATAGACAGAACAGCGTATAAATAAATAA